TGGCCTCCAAAGTGCTTGGATTACAGACGTGAGCCACTGCGCCCAGCCCAGAGCAAGACTTGATCTCAAAAATAATAATAATAATAAGGTTAGAGGAAAATGCATGCAATAGATCAGGGTGAGGGGTGTGTGTGCACTGGGCTTTGTAGGCCATTGCAAGGAATTTGGGCTTTTACTAAGCAAGATGAGCCATTTGAGGGATTTTAACAGATAAATGATGTAACAATTTTAGGAGGATCTGGGTTTGGCTGCTCTTTGGGCAACACATGGTGAAGAAATTGTAACAGTAGCAGTAGTAGTAAGAATAATGGCATTTTGAAATCCAGGAAAATGAGACGCATATATGCTTTGTGTCTATGTGTCCCTGTTGACATTTTTACCTACAAAAATTGATGTGAAGCTGGGCACAGTGGCTCACACCTATAATCCCAGCGCTTCCAGAGGCTGAGATGGAAGGACTGCTTGAGCCTAGGAGTTTGAGACCAGCCTAGGCAACATGGCAAAACCCCATCTCTACAAAAAAATCCAAAAATTAGTTGGGTGTGGGGGCACATACCTGTAGTCCCAGATACATGGAGAGGCAGAGGTGAAAGGATCACCTGAGCCTGTGGAGGTTGAGGCTGCAATGAGCCATGGTCACGCCAATGCACCAGGTGAGCCATGATCACGCAAATGTCACCAGGCTGGAGCCTGGGTGGCAGTGAGACCTTGCCTCAAAAATAAAAAGAAAATGTGTTCTTGGCCAGGTGGAGTGGCTCATACCTGTTATCCCAGCACTTTGGGAGGCCGAGGCCGGTGGGTCACCTAAGATCAGGAGTTCAGGACCAGCCTGGCCAGTCTAGTGAAATCTCATCTCCACTAAAAACAAAAATTAGCCAGGCTTGGTGGCGGGTGCCTGTAATCCCAGCTACTTGGGAGGCTGAGGTAGGAGAATTGCTTGAACCCCGGAGGCAGAGGTTGCAGTGAGCTGAGACCACATTATTGCACTCCAACCTGGGCAACATGGCAAAACTCCGTATCAAAAAAAAAAAAAAAAAAAGAAAATGTGTTCTTAAAACCTCAAGTCATAGAGAATGGTTCTTTAGTCTTTTCCTTATTATTATATTTATTATTTATTACTATATTATTTTTCTTATTCATTTAGTATTAAAGTGTTCTCATTACATGTACACAAAAATGTCTTTACAGTATTGCTTGCTTGCTCAGTGAATATATATAATGAAAAAGGTCTGTCAGATTCATACAGTATGCTTGAGCACCAATTATGTGTTTTGACACTACTGAGCACAAGACAATGGAAAAGAAAAGATGTAACATTTGCCCCTGCCTTCAAAGAAGCTAAAAACTCCCTTGGCCAGGTGCAGTGGCTTAAGCCTGTAATCCCAGCACTTTGGGAGGCCGAGGCGAGCTAATCATGAGGTCAGGAGTTCAAGACCAGCCTGGCCAACATGGTGAAACCCCATCTCTACTAAAAATACAAAAAATTAGCTGGGTGTAGTGGAAGGCACCTGTAATCCCAGCTACTGGGGAGGCTGAAGCAAGAGAATTGCTTGAACCTGGGAGGTGGAGGTTGCAGTGAGCTGAGATCGTGCCACTGCACTCCAGCCTGGGTGGCAGAGCGAGACTCTGTCTCAAAAAAAAAAAAAAAGTTCCCAAAGCAACAATTTGGACTTTGGTTTGTTTTGTCAGTCTCAGAAATGCATTTTCAGAACCTTGATAGGTGGTACTGTTAGCCCTGATGACATTCAAAGTCTTCATTTCAAATATTCAAGGTAGAAAATTCAAAACTCAATTGTAAAACAATAGAATTGGATTAGCAGACCCTTTTCATGAAATGAAATCTCACCTAGAAGCCTGATATGTGGCCAGGCACAGTGGCTCACACCTTTAATCCCAGGACTTTGGGAGGCTGAGGCAGGCAGACATGAGGTCGGGAGTTCGAGACCAGTGACCAACACGGAGAAACCCCATCTCTACTAAAAATACAAAAAAAATTAGCCAGGTGTGGTGGTGCATGCCTGTAATCCCAGCTACTCAGGAGGCTGAGGCAGGAGAATCGTTTGAACCCAGGAGGTGGAGGTTGCAGTGAACCGAGAGAGCTCCATGGCACTCCAGCCTGGGCAACAAGAGAGAAACAAAAAAAAAAAAAAAAAAAAAAAAGAAAAAAAAAAAAAAAAAAAAAAAAAAAAAAAAAAAAAAAAAGCCTGATCTGATATGTAAAACAGAAAAGCCAAGCAGTTCTGGTGGTGGGTTTCTGGAAGCCTGCCTACTGTTGTGTCCTCACCCACTTGCACTGCCAGTGGTGCCTAAGGCTCTGTCTTCAAGCTTCCACGTTCTACCAAGCACACTCTGAAACTGAATCTACGTACAATCATTAGGGATAACAGAAGGAAATCAAGCAAAAACTTGCTATTTGTTTACAATAAACTCCATAAGGAATTTGAGCTCTAAAGTTAACAAATCAATAAACTCCAGGTAAAACAGTCTTTACATGGAGTAATGGAAAACAGTAG